GCTATTTTCCCTGGAACATTGGAGGCTGAGGGGTGACCTTATAGAGGTTTATAAAATCATGAGGGGCGTGGATAGGGTAAATAGACAAGGACTTTTCCCCAGGGTGGGTGAGACCAAAATAGAGGGCATATGTTTAAGGTGAGCGGGGAAAGATTTAAGAGGGACCTAAGGGACAACATTTTCGCACAGAGGGTGATGCATGTATGGAATGAACTGCCAGAAGTGGTGGAGGATGGTACAATTACAACATTTAAAAGGCAGCTGAATGGGTATATGAAGAGGGATTTGGGCCAAATGGGACTAGATTTATTTGGGATATCTGGTCAGCGTAGACAAGTTGGACCGAAGGGTCTGTTTCTCTGCTGTATATCTCTAGGACTCACGAAGGCAAGTGTGCCAAACGCTTTTTAACCACCCTGCCTATATGTAACGCGAACTTCAAAGAATTATGTACCTGAACCCCTAGGTCCCTCTGTTCTCCAACACTACCCAAGGCCCTACCATTACTTGTACAATCTCCATCATTGTTTGTTGTACCAAATGCAATACCTCACATTTATCCAGATGGAATTCCATCTGCTATTTTTCAGCACATTGATCCATTTGTTCAAGATCCCTTTGTAACCTTAGAAAACCTTCTTCATTGTGTACTGTGCCACCAATTTTGATGTCATCTGTAAACTTACTAACCATGCCTTCTACATTCCCATCCAAAATCATTTATATAAGTGACAAAAGCAGACCCAGAATTGATCCTTGCAGAAGACTGCTGGTGACAAGCCTCCAGTCTGAAAAGCGATCCTCCACCACCACGCTGTCTTCTGCCATTAAGCCAATTATGTATTCAATTGCAACAAAAACAGAAGTTGCTGAAAAAGCTCAGCAGGTCTGGCAGTATCTGGGAAGAAAAAAACAGTTAACATTTCAGGTCCAATGACTGTGGTCCTTTTGTTTTTTTTTTAAAAACATAGGACTGGAGTCAGGCCCTCAAGCCTGTTCCACCAACGAGGTCATGGCTGATCTGTGGCCTAACTCTATATACCCACCTTTGGCCTACATCTCATAATACCTTAGCTTAAACTCTCATTTGAAAATAGCAGATCCAATTGTTTCCAGATTTGATTCTAGATAAGGTTTGCAAGAACTTCAAGATACCTTAGATGATCCCACAATGCAACATAAGGTTAAAAAAGGTCAAATTTTCCTCAGTGTATAACATTAACCATTTGACAGCTAATCACAATATATGCCATCTTCCTCAAAAACAGCCACATCATGTGATCCTGGAGTAGCTCAAACTATGAACTTAGACGATAGCAAGAACTGCAGGTGCTGGAGGAACACAGCAGGTCAGGCAGCATCAGATGAGCAGGGAAGTCGACGTTTCAGGTCAGAACCCTTCACGAGGACTGGGGAGGTGGAAAGAAGCTCAAATAAAGAGGGAGGGGGTTGTAGCTGAGGCAAGGTAGATGGGGTGGTGATAGGTGGATGCAGGGGATTGTGGAGATTATTCAATGTGAGAAGTGAGAAGGAGGACGGACAGGATGTGGGCAGTGTGATGAACATAGGTGGGGAGTTCCTGCACTGGGGGGGGGGGGGGGGGGGGGGGGGCAGCAGGGAAAGAGAAGGGAAGAAATGGAGTCAAGGTGAGCAGGCAGAGGCAGAGACAGTGGGTCAACTGGGACAGTCAGTTTTGAGAATTTTGAGTACGAGATAGAAATGGGCAGCGCAGGGTTGGAGGCTGTGGATAGGAGGTCTCCTCTCCATGCTCCAACATCTTATCTTACTACAGTCAGCCCTACCCCAGCTCACAGCCTTCCTTTCCCAGTTCTGCAAAGGACCTGTATTGTATTTTATTCTACGCAAGATCCACACCCTCAATAAATGGTTTTTCTTCACCCTAAGTTCACCAAATTCGCTCATAGTTACCTCGAAGCACAGACTCCCTTCAACAACCCGAGACCCCCTTCAACAACCCTAGACCCCAATCCCCATCCCCAACTTTCTCCTGATTCCGTCAAATGCCATAAACCACACGGTTGCCTTGGCCACTGACGCTGCCAACAGCGCAGCTTCCGCTAACAATACAGCCTCCAACAGCGCTGCTTCTGCTGACGCCACTGACCAAATCACTACTTGCGCCCATACGACTGATCCCATACACACCCCCACAAACCTCCCCCTCACCAAAGATGAACAGTCAGTCTTTTCCAGGAGGACTCCCCTTCATTCCCCTACGCCCACACATCAACAAATTCTGTATACGCCTCTAAGTTGAACTCTTTTCCACCACCTCCGTGCCTATTTCTTGGAACAGGAATCCAACAAACCTCATTTCACCACCCAGCCCTGCACCCCCCACACCACCTGCTGACCTCCTACCCTCCCTCAAAATGATTTTGTCTCCAAATACCATCGCAACATCAATTGCCTTCATCTCTCCATCCCTCTCCCCAGTGGAACACACAGCCCTCTGCTCCAATCCCAACTTCATCTTAGACCTGCTGATAAGGTGGAGTGGGGCAAGGTGGTAGTATGGTGTACTGGCCTCCGTGATATGTCAGATGCCTAATCTCCCACACCTCCTCCTACCGTCTCCTTAATTATGACCCCATCCCTGATCACCAAACCATCATCTCCCAGACCATAAATAACCTCATCACATCAGGAGACCTCCCATCCATAGCCTCCAACCTGATCGTTCCCCAACCCCACATTTCTATCTCCTACCCAAAATCCACAAACCTGACTGCCCCGGTTGACTCATTGGCTCTGCCTGCTCCTGCCCCATTGAACTCATCTCCGCATACTTCAACTCTGTTTCTTCCCCTCCTGGTCCAGGAACTCCCCACCTAAGTTTAGAACACTACCCACTCCCTCCACCTCCACCAAGACTTTCAATTGCCCAGCCCTCAACACCTCATCTTCACCATGGATATTCAGTCTGTCTACACTGGTATCCCCCACCAGCCAACACCACCAAGGGCAGCCTAAAAGCCCTCCGCTTCTTCCATTCCCGCAGACCCAACCAGTCTCCCTCCACCGACAACTGCTTGATGCTGGTCTTCATCCTCAACAACTTTTCCTTTAACTCCTCCCACTTCCTACAAACCAAAAGGAATGGCTATGGGCACCCGTATGGGTCCGAACTATGCCTGCCTCTGCATAGGATATGTGGAATAGTCCCTCTTCCGCAGTTAAACTGGCACCATCCCTTGCCTCTTCCTCCGCTACATCAATTCTGTATCGGTGCTGCCTTGTGCTCCCACGAGGAGCTCAAACAGTTGATCTACTTCAACACCTTTCATCACAATCTCAAATTCAACTTGACCATCTCAGACACCTCCCTCCCCTTCCTGAGCCTCATCGTCTCTATCTCTGGCAACTGACTCAGCACCAACATCTATTTCAGACCCACCAACTCCCATACCTACCTTGACTACACGTCCTCTCACCCACCCTCTTGCAAAAATGCAATCCCTTACCTCCCAATTCCTCCACATCTGGTCCCTCGATGAAGCGTTCCACTCCCAGACATCTTCCTACTTCAAGGACCGTACCTTTCCCTCTCCCGTGATTCATAATGCCGTCAACTGCACCTCCTGCCCTCAAAACCCCTCCCCCATCCCTCCAACACCAACAATAGTCCCCCTGGTTCTCATATCACCCCAGCCCAACCTCTGAATCCAGCGCATCATCCTCCACCACTTGCAATCAGACCCCACCACCACAGATTTTCCCCTCCCCACTCCTATCTACTTTCTGTAGGAACCACTCACTCCCCACCACCCTTCCTTGCAACTGCAGGAAGTGCTACACCCGCCATCTCACTTCTGTCCAAGGCCCCAAACAATCATTCCGTATCCAAACAGGGATTCACCTGTATGTCTTGTAACCTGACTTACTGCATACATTGGAGAGGCCAAGCGCAAACTCAGTGACCGATTTACAGACCATCTGCACTTTGTACACTCCAAACACCACTACCTTCCCGTTGCTAGCCATTTCAACGCCCCTGCCCATCCTTTGGTGACATGTCCATCCTGGGCCTCCTCCAATATCACAATGAGGCCACACTAAAATTGAAGTAACAATACCTTTTATTCCCTCAGGTGCTTACAGCGCCATGGCCTCAACATAGAATTCACTAGCTTCAAAATCTCCCCAACCCTCCCTCTCATCCCTGCCTCCTTGGCCTGAGGCAATCTGCCCCAACCTTGCTATTGAAGGATCACCACCCCACCTACTTTACTCCAGTCCCATCCCCCCCTTTTTTTTTTTTCTGAGCTCCCTTCCCCATTCTCTAATCCTGATGAAGGGTTCCGACCAAAACAGCAACTTTCCTGTTCCTCCAGCTCCACGCTGTATCGACTATAAACTCAGATGAAATTTGCAGGTAGTCTACAAGTTACCCACACCATTAAACTGGAAGCTTCAGCATTGCTCTGTGATTGGAGCAAAACATTAGAAATATGATGACTATTTCACATTAAGTTATATGAATGGACTGCAACTTAACAAAATATCAAATACAGGTCTAGCTTGTGGTTTCTTTGCTGGGAATAAAAGATCCAAGTAAGAACAATTGTAGGCAATTGCTATGCAATCTTTTGCATACAGCCAGGAGAACAATGTCTTACTATTGCAGTGTATCCATTTCACAAGTGCAGTTAAATGTCTGAGTAAGACTGAAACAACAAAATGATTCCTGTGACCACATTTGACAGAAGTTTAGTCATGAATTCAAAAGTAGCTGAATTACAATTGAGGAACATAAGCACAACAATTGCTTTTTGCTGACCTACATTTAAGTACCCGCATTCTCAGCAAAATAAACCAGCATCCACTGTTAAAATGGCATCAATTCACAATTATTGGATTAAAACCTCCCATAACATTTCTATATATGTGCTGTTATAAATATTTTTATTCTTGTAACTTTGAAAATTAGCCACTGTCCCATTTGCCCCACAGTTCAGGAAGTTGACACTTCAATTATAAACAATTGAGACGTAATTTTATTTCAGCAGTACAATTTTTTATGAATCGTTTCAAAGTATTGCAGTCCTAATTTAACATTGTTTATTTAAAACATAATTCAGGTTTCTAGTGCACAGTTTTAGCACTGACCATGGTTACAGTGTGGTGAAAAATATGATAAATGACAAGACAAAAAGTGATGCTTCAGTCTTCAGTTTCACTTTTAAAAACTGCAGCATTTTCCTCCACGACAGCTTAACAGCCACCACTTTACCAATTGCAATAGCTGGTAGGTACAAACTGGATTACAAATGAGATATTGAAATTAAATTTAGATAGAACACTTACTGAAAAGGCCTATTTGTTACTAACAAATTGATTAGTGTAGTATGTAGAACATGCAAATTTTGCTTTTATAGAGATGAGAAACTGTTCCAAATATAACTGTCTGCACTGAAAAGTTGAATATTTTAAAAAATGCCTTAGGAGAAACAAGGTCTCTTACTGATAATTAGCTCAATGCTCCAAGCCTCCTCCCAAACAAGAAAGGCCATCAACTGGTTATCAGACACCAATCACTTGTACCCAGTCCAGGTTGGCTAACTGCTGGCTTTTTTCTTTGCAGTGCATTCTCCCACAAAGCTACTGTCAATAGCTCACGTGCTTATCCAGAGAAGAAAAGTTCTTCTTCAAAACTGTTCGATGTTAATATCGAAGTCCTCTCCCTTTGGGAATTACTGAGTTTAACTATCAAAAAAAAAAGCACTAGATCAAGATGTAAAAGATTTCATGGTTCAAAATTGTGGGAAGTTTTTAAAAAGGTAAAAGCAAGTACACATTTATCCATGTTTGAGGTGGAATTGAAATACGTAATTGGGAAAAGCCCAAAATACGAGTGGTTGGGCCCTCTGTGAAACAGCAGCATCAAGGTTCATTTTAAATGGTCCTGTCAAAAATCATTTAATATAGTTGTGCACAGATCTGCACCTACTCCATGAAAATAAAATCTTAATTGAAGAGACTTATTTGAAATAGACATATGATGCAAACAATTCAGACCTTGATCCATAACAGTTCAAACAGCTTAGCTGTTATGGAGTGGCAAATGTCAGTTTGTTTTTGCTTAACTTCCCTTTGTCCTATGTCAGTACCATCAGCAATTTACTTACACACTTGCAAACAAGTCTAAACAGAACAAAGTGACCCCTGAATCCGTACCTTGTCAGACCTTGCAGCTGTGCAATTTAAGATTATGACTGGCATTCAATGATGGATATGTTGCCAGAGAATATGTTCAAACATGTGGAACCCATTTTAGTGATTGCAGCTATAAACTCAAAACTCTCAAAAAAATTGTCACCAAGTGAACAAAATACTTGACTAATACAAAAAAAAACAAACCTGGTTTACAGCAAAACCCAGTGAACTTTACCACAGCTTTTCTATGTACCAATGTATATGGGGCTATTGAGGATTCAATTACGTAAGTAAACAATTTCATAAATACACTACAGGAGAGCCATCTGAGATCTTCAGACAATTTAAATTTGACAATTTTTAAATGAACACTGTCACTTTTAGGTTATTGTGCAAAATAGCTATTTTGCTAGAACTATATTGACAGTCTCAATACATATGGCACTAGCAGGACTTGCATTTTATTATTTGATATGGATTAAAACTAACATATACTAGTTCAGGATTTTAAATAGAAATCATTTGCCGTGCCAATTTATCCTCTCGCAGAGCTAATGGGTGAAATCTCAACTGCGTTCTGTTACCCAATGATTAAATATCTGTAAAAGCAAATATTAACTTGAAACCTGAGTAGTGGAAGAAAAGCAGTCGCCATTTGTTAAACAAAACACTGAGCAGAATGTGTAAATGTTTGTTAATAGCAAAGCAGCCAAATCATGGCCTCCAAAATCACCAAAAGCCAATTGTGGGAAACAAAGCACAAGGAAGATCCTTACAAGAAAAGGGGATCCTTAAAGTGGCTTCTAAAAGGCAAGCTTTCAGACCAGCTCAGAGATTGCAAGCTAGAGTCCAGTGCCATTATTCAGATTAATCTCATTGAGGGTCTGCATTTCTGTAAAAACACCCAGCAAATAAAGCAGCATTTTGACAGTTTCCAGTTTCAGTCATACAAACTTATTTGTGCAAGATTCTTGCGTTACACCACAATGCATTCTGAAGCACAGCTGATGCATTGGCTTTGAAGTATGCTTCCAATCTATGTGCAACCAAGATATTCACACCTTCAGGTTACAAGAGTACACAATTTTTACTTTTCTTCTTCTTATGAGGGTAGAGGACTGCTCTCACAGCCTCCACAAATACTTCCCGGATCCCATCCTGATTGAGTGCTGAACATTCCAGATACTTAACAGCTCTGATCTGTTTGGCTAAGGTCACTCCCTGGTGCATCGTTGTTGGAGAGAGGCTTTGCTCCTTGAGCTTTTTAACGGTTTCAGAATCATTCCTTAAATCCTTCTTCGTACCAACCAAAAGTATAGGAACATTTGGACAATGGTGCAAAACCTCTGGTTGCCACTTATGACGGACATTGGCATAGGAGGAAGGGCTAGCAACGGAAAAACAGATAATGAAAACATTACTTTGTGGATAGGATAGCGTGCGGAGACGATCATACTCTTCCTGCCCTGCAGTATCCCAAAGGTTCAGGCTTACAGTTCGTCCATCCACTGTCATCTGTGCACTGTAGTTGTCAAACACAGTGGGGACATATTCTCCAGGAAACGCATTTGTTGTGTAACTAATGAGAAGGCAGGTCTTTCCAACTGCACCATCGCCCACAACCACACATTTTATAGTCTGCATTATTCATATGGCTCGAAGGTCAAGCTTCACACTGTCAATAAAAAAAATGACATTAAGACAAAACATTTCAGTGTCTAGTCACCTCACTACAGTGTACAACCAACCAACTCTGGAGGAGTAGTAAGGAATTATGTATCAGAGCTGCAGGTCACTAAACCTGCCAGAACATGCAACCTTTAATAACGTGAGAATATTGAAATGTTTCCACAGAATCACAAAGTAGAAATATGTTGCTATTGGATACATCAGAAACTCTCCTTTCTTGTTCTGATATTTAAGTCATTTAGATTCTATTCCACTATTTGAGAGGGAGCAGAAAATTCTTACAGTTCCTACGCAACATTCCTCCCTCAATTATGATCACCAGAAAGATTCATCTTTCATTTCCTACTATTTTAAAGAACTTAAATGTTTGCAAAGGACCGCTATTCTTATCCACCTAACAGTCACTGCAAAGTAATTAGTTGCGTACAAAATAGAAAAGTTTTGAGTCACGTACTATTTTGGAAGTCTTGCATTTAGGTAGTATCTATTGGTAACTCCTTTCCCTCAAACAATAAATACATAAATTTCCTCTGTTCTGTTACAGTGTAAAGAGAGGTACAGAACAGAAACAGGCCCTTTAGTCCAACTTGTCCATGTCAAACAAATATTCTAAATAAATCCAGTCCCATTTGGCCCATATCCCATGAAACCCTTCCTATTCATGTACCCATCCAGATGCCTTTGGCAGCTCATTCCATATATGTACCACCCTCTGCTTGTAAAAGTTGCCCCTTAGATCCCTTTTAAATCTTTCCCCTCTCACGTTAAACCTATGCCCTCTAGTCTTGGACTCTCCCACCCCAGGGAAAACTTCTACAAGGTCACCCCTCAGGCTCCAATGCTCCAGGGAAAATAGCCCCAGCCTATTCAGCATCTCCCAACAACTCAAACCCTCCAGCCCTGGCAACATCCTTCCTATAGCAGGGAGACCAGACTTGAACACAGTATTCCAAAAGTGGCCTAACCAATGTCCTCGACAGCTGCAATATGACCTCCCAACTCCTATACTCGATGCATTGACCAAGAAAGGTAAGCGTACCAAATGCTTTCTTCACTATCCTGTCTGTCTATCTGTGACTCCACTTTCAAGGAACTGTGAACCTGCACTCCAAGGTCTCTTATCAGCAATACTCCCCAGGACCTTACCATTAATTATATAAATCATGCCCCAATTTGCCTTTCCAAAATGCAGCACCTCACATTTATCTAAAATGAAACTCCATCTGCCACCCCTCAGCCCATCTGATCAAGATCCTGTTGTACTGTGAGGAAAACTTTTTTGCTGTCCACTACACCTCTAAATTCAGTGTCATCTGCAAACTTACTAACCATACCTACGTTCACAACCAAATCATCCATATAAATTAAGAAAAGCAGTGGACCGAGCACCGATCCTTGTGGCACACCACTGGTCACAGGGCTCCAGTCTGAAAAGCGACCCTCCACCACCACCCTTCAAGCCAGTTCTGTATCCAAATGGCTAATTCTCCCTGCATTCCATGTGATCTAACCTTGCTAACCAGTACACCATGATGAACCTTGTTGAACACCTTACTGAAGTCCACATAGATCACATCCACCACTCTGCCCTCATCAATCCTGAGTATTTTCTTGAAAGTAGCAGTAACAATCAAGTTAGTGAGAAAATTTCCCTTGCACAAAGCCATGTTGACTATCCCTAATCAGTCCTTGCCTTTCCAAATACATGTAATCTTGTCCCTCAAGATTCCCTCCAACAACTTGCCCACCACCAATGTCAGGGTCATCGGTCTATTGTTCCCTGGCTTTTCTGATGCATTTCTTGTATCTTAAAATAGGATGAGATCATTCAAGTTGACAATATGTTTCTGTTGGAAAAAAATGAAATTAGGCTCTCTCGAACTGGTCTACTCCACCACTTAACATAGTTTAATAGAATTTGCATGTTCCTCGCTTCAAATACCTGAAAATACTCTAGGGGCATCAATATGCACAATATTAGCAAAATCTTTCAAAACTTTATTATAAATAGGTAATGATAACTGAAGCTCAAAAATCATTTGAGGGCAAGGACTCTGCTCCACATGTGCAGAAACTAAAAGGGACACCTTTCATTCGCTCCATAGCCTCTTTCCCCTCCCCATACACTTCTTCAAACCCCAGGCAGCTCTTACACCTCCCACTCTCTTCTCCTTCCCCCTTCATTGCCACCTCATCCATCCTTCCATTATCTCTTCCTTGTATCCTCGGGAGTAGGCTTTGCTCGATCCCCCACTTATCCCTCCTCCTTTTGCCCTGGCTCAACTACCAACTCACCTCCCATTCTCCACATCTGCCCTCCTTCATTTTTCTTCTACTACCTCCTTCACTTCCTCAGCTGCCTCTTTCTCAAATCGCACATCCACTTCACACCTCCATCACGCCACATCCCTCCCTCCCTTCCTCACTATCCATCCCTCCCATGCACTTCCCCTGCCCAAACCCCTTCCATTCCCCTCATTGCTTGCCCCCAGCCCCCTCACATTGGGGAAAAAGGGAACACAGGACAGGGCGGCGGAGGTGGAAAGGCAAGGCAGCGGAGGGGGGCGCCCAGGGGAAAGTAGCACTTTCCCCTCCCATTCCCCCAACCCCCCCCCCCCTTTACCCCTCAGTCCCCCATTCTTTAAAACTAACTCCCAAACCACCTTCCCCTCCCTCCGACTCCTTCCCTCCCATCGTCTCTCTATCTCCCAACCCCTCCCTTTACGTCCCTTCTCTCCCTCCCCCACCGACTCCCTACACTTGCCTTTTCTTTCCCGTCCACTAGCCTCCCCCTTCAACCCACCATTTCCAACTCCTCATACTTTTCTTTCACTTCAAACTTTCGACTTCAATACACCTAGCCCGTTCCCGGAAACGACGCATTCTCATTGTCTTCGTTCCAAACGTGACTAAATGTAACATGGCCAAAGCCTCACGAACTAACCTTCAGTAAATGAATATGCTCAAGTTTATTGACGACGAGACCCCCCCCGGCCTCTAAAAGACCCAACTCCAACCGCCACTTACCTCAACCTTCCCTGACCATGGGTCATCCGGGTCCTGTGCGCAATGCCCTCTGGGGAATGTAGTGTGGCCCGGGCCGTTGCTGACTTGCGCAATAAAATGGCGGTTATGACCCGCGGAGGCGGGTGTCGCGCATGTGCAGAGAGTGCAGGTGGTGTCTTCTTCTTGGAGAAAGAATGAGTTGGAGTTTGTGGCTGTTTCCGTCTATTCGCCGTGATAACAAGTTCAGAGAGATGGCTGATCAGAAGTGCAAAGGTTGAATTTAAACAACCAAGTGGACTTTGATGGAGCATTAATTAAATTGATTCCTGAAAGGAGGTGGTTGCTGTGGAATAAATAAGAATGATATCTTAGATTAACTCGCTAGAGCTCACGGTGAGAAGCCCATCTTGAAATTTTCTAAAATCGACAGACCCCAATTTTTGGGAAAATTCAGCCCTCAGCTTTTAGAAAATGTGTTTCTTATTACTTTATGCATTAAACTGTATTGTTTAGATCAACAGAATTTGGTTTAACAATTTCAGTTTAAATTACTCCACCCTTTTTTTAATCCAGTCTCTAACTTGTCCAGGTTGAAACAAGTCAGTTATGCATTTTTTAAAAATCCTGTGAAGACTGTCTGGCTCTTGAGACTTATCATAAAGAATGCACAAATGTGTCAAATTTGCACTCTTTCTTGATTCTGCGCAAAATTGGCTATGTGGAAAACTGTGGGATATGACTCAATAAAAATATGTGTGTGCATTTCAACACAATAATTTCAAGTATTTAAGAAACCTACCTTGCGTACTTAATGATTCTGAGGCATTTGGAAGCAGATGTTGTGTTTGTTTGTACTTGTAAAATTGAGAAACACACCCTATGTAATTGTATAACAAAAAATAATCAAACATGATCTCTTAGAGATACATGTCACCTGCCTTCCTTTAATCACTGTTTTTCTTCAAATTACAACATTCCAGGGAAGTGCTAATTAGCTCTGCTCATGCCCATAGTAGTCTTAACATTAGACTATCAATTCAAAGTTTAAGTTTATATTTTTACTGTTTCTTTCTGTTTATTTTTATGGTGACATTCACTCATTCTGCTACATCACCACCTTAACAATGACAATCCATAACAGTTTTTGGACTGAGAAGTGTAAGCAGTATTTGAGATGACTGTGCACAATATCAATAATGATAGGTTGTAAAATAAAAAGATGGTGTGTTACATTTGGTTTACACAAGTGGATTTGACCCATCTACTGATTTTATAACTGTTAGAAGTGAATGAATCGACGGATGCAGTGTTAATTACATTTATGGTAAATGATCACTGGGTGAAGGCAGTGCCTTTAGACATAATTGTATCTGTTGTCTCACTCTTTAAACATCCCAATGATGGAGATTTAAACCAGTCACTAAAATGGTTCGGGAATTATGTTTGCAAAGTGTGTGCACTTGTTGTTTTACCACTTCCTTTGCCAGACATTGAGATATGTCTTAACAATTTTTATTAATTCAAGATTATGTGCATCATTGGCTAAGTTAACATCTATTACCCGTTCTTAATTGCCTTTGAGAAAATGGTGGTGAACTGCTTTCTTGAATTTTTGCAGTCCTTAATGTGTAGATACACAATGAAATTCTGCTTGGAAGGCCGTGCCAGGACATTTACCCAGTGAAGGAATAGTGATATAGTTCCAAGACAAAATGGAGTGTGACTTGGAGGAAGTCTTGCAGGTGATGGTGTTTCCATGCATCTGCTGGCCTTGTCTTTCTAGGTGGTAGAGATAGTGGGTTTGGGGGGTATTGCTTAAGGATCATGGGTATATTGCTGATTTTTCCAACTGAATTTTGTAACTGAACTAACTGGGGAAATCTTAAGGCAGAAATTTTCCCCTTGTTGCTTGTGAGTGCGAACTTCTTAGTTGAGTGGCCCTGTCACTAGACTTTGAGAAATGTCCGCTGATCAGAGAGCCCAGAATCTCACTGTCATGCATCTTTATCAGCGAGCACCTATTGAGGCATGTCACAATCATCCTTCTTCTCTCAGGACACAGCTTACTCAGTGTCTTTCAACAACTGCACTACTTTGGAGCATTAGGTTGTGTAATGCACGGTAAATGATAACAATGTGGGATACCCTAGAAGATGCATATTTAAGGATTTCTGTGATCTGTCGATACATTTAAACATCATAAGGCCAAAAACCTTGCAGTAATGAAACAGCAATTGTAAGTTTGAGAAAGGGTCACTGGACCCGAAACGTTAACTCTGATTTTTCTTCACAGATCCTGTCAGACCTGCTGACCTTTTCCAGCAATTTCTGTTTTTGTTTCTGATTTACAGCATCTGCAGTTCTTTCAGTTTTGTTTTAGTAAGTCTTCTGTACTTGCGTTTTGTATTGTGTACAGGGTGTTACGACATCTATAGAGATCAATAACTTTTGAAACCAGGGGATATCCTAAACAACAGAAATAACCAAAGAATAAACTTTAACATCTTAACACTCTCGCTATAGCAAATAAACTAAAATCAACAATCATACATTGCTTAATAGACCACTAATACATCAAATTCTCATTTCCTCATCAAATGAAATAAATAGTACTTTTTCCATAACCAACTAATGCAAACTAAATATCTTTCAATGCATTGCACTGTGCTCAACATTCCTGCAGCAGATGTTAAGCTTTATTAGAAGAAGTCCAATGTCATTCCCAGCAGTCCAGCAGGTTCACTTCTCCCAACCATGCTTGGTCAAAACTTTGAGTGTCCATTCAAAAATAATTTCACTCAGCTTGAGTCTTCCAAAATCAACCTAACTAGCAAGACCTGCCTCGACCACTCTTTGTCCTGTCTGCTGTTTTTTTAAAATTTTTGAACAGAAAACAAGCCCTTAGCAGCATCTTTCTTAGAGTCATACAGCATGGAAACAGACCCTTTGGTCCAACCAGTCTATGCCGTCCATAATCCCAAACTAAACTAGTCCCACCTGCCTGTGCTTGGCCCATATCCCTCTAAATATCTTTTAAACATTGTAAATGTACCTGTATCCACCACTTCCTCTGAAAGTTCATTCAACACACAAACGACACTCTATAAAAAAATTGCTCCTTATGTCTTTTATAAATCTTTCTCCTCTCACCTTAAAAATGTGCTCCCTGGTCTTGAAATCCCCCATCTTAGGGAAAAGACACCTGCCATTCACCTTATATATACCCCTCATGATTTTGTAAATCTCTACAAGGTCACCTCTCAACTTCCTACGCTCCAGTGAAGAAAGTCCCAGCCTATCCAGCCTCTCCTTATAACTCAAACCCTCCATTCCCAGCAACATCCTGGTAAATCTCTTCTGAACCCTCTCCAATTTAATAATAACCTTCCTATAACAGGCGACCAGAACTGGACACAGAATTCTAGAAGAGGCCTCTCCAACGTTCTGTACAACCTCAATGTAACATTCCAACTACTATACTCAAAGGTCTGACCAATGAAGGCAGGAGTGCTAAATACGTTCTTAACCACCATGTCTACCTGTGATGCAAACTTCAAAGAATTATGTGTCTGAACACCTAATTGCTATGTTCCTCTACACAACAGTATATGATTTCTCTCTCCACCCGTGCTTCACAAAATGTTTGTTCCTTTCATAGAATTATAGAATCCTGACAGCGAAGAAAGAGGCCATTTGGCCCATCAAGTATCACTGACCCTCCAAAGACCATCCCACTCAGACCCAGACCCCCACCCTGTCACCATATATACCATGGCTAATCCATCTAACCTGCACATCTTTGGACTGTGGGAGGAACCTGGAGCACCTATTGGAAACTCACACAGACACAGGGAGAATGTGCAAACTCCACCCAGGTCTCTGGCACTTTGAGGCAACAGTGTTAACCATGTACTGCCCCAAATATACAGAATACAATGTTATCATATTTTACTCCACATTTTTGTTTGCTTAACATATGGGCTAATGGTGATTACCATTCGACCAGGTTTTCCTTTTTATTGCTTTTAAATTTTACCATCTGCCATGGTGGGATTTAAACCCAAAGCTCCAGGCCATTACAGGATTACTACATCAGTGACATTACCGTGACTCCATCTCCTCCCCTTACTAGGCATCATTGTGGAAAGATATTGAAACTACTGCTTGGTATTTCAAAATGTTTTAACTTTCCCATGGCCGTTAGATGGGCTGAATGACCTACTTCTGCTCCTATGTCTCATGGTGACCAACTGTATCATTTTTCATGGATTTTTTTATTCATTCACAAGATGTGGGCATTGTGGTTAAGGTCAACGCTTATTGCCCACCTCTAATTGTCCTTGAGAAGATGGCAGTGGGCTGCTTTCCTGAACTGCTGCATACTATATGATGGTACACTCTACAGTGCTATTTGGGAGGAAGTTGCAGGATTTTGTTCCAGAAATACTGATGGAACAGTGTATCTTTCCAAATCAGAGTGCTGAGCGAATAGGAAGAGAACTTGCAGGTGGTGTTCCAATGTATCTGCTGCTGCTGACCTTTGGATGGCAGAATTGTGGGTTTGAAAGGTGCTGTCTAAAGAGCCTTGGTTCATTGTTGCAGTGCATCTTGTAGATGCTACACGTTCCTGCTATTGAGTGTCATGCTTATTTTGAAGGAAGTAATTGTTGCAGGTGTTAGATGTGCTGCCAGTCATGCAGACTACTCTGTCCTGGATGGTGTCACACTGCACTCATCCAAGCAAGTGGAAAGTGTTCCATTATGTTCCTGACTTGTACTTGTAGATGGAGGACAGACACTGGGCAGACAGGAGTTGAGTTACTTGCTGCAGGTTTCCTAATCTTTGATTTGCTGTTATAGCCACTGTATTTAATAGATGCTCCAATTCAGTTTCTTGTCAGTGGTGATCCATTGGATATTGACAATGGGGGATTCAGTGGTGGTTATTATATTGTATGTCAAAGAACAATGATTGAATTCTCTCCTGTTGGAGATGGTCATTACCTAGTGCTTGCGTGGCATGAATTTTATTTGTTATTTATCCACCCAGCTCTGGATGTTGCCCAGGTTTTGTGGCATTTGGATCTGAACTGCTTCAGTATCTGAGGAATCATGAATAATGC